TGTTGAATCTAGTGTTTGTTAAGAGATTGTGGTGTATGTTGATTGCCATGCAACATGAAGTAAATGTGTATTTCATTCAGAGATGAGTTCTTATGAATAATTTCTTTATCGAATTGATTGTCAGCAGCCCGTAATGTGAAGAAAAATACTTCTGAAAAGGTCTGAAACAATAATAAACTAAACCGCTTTTTGGCTGGACTATTGCTAATAGTAGTCACTCAACATTAAACTGGTTTGTGTCTACCAATGAAATTCAGGTCGTGTGTTTCTGTCTTTTTCGAACTTAACAACTAAGTGCGTGTCTGTCACATCCCCTGATGTTGTTGTGCTCACGAACTGATTGTCAATCGCTACGAACATCATTATCTACCAAAGCTAATGAGTTCACATAGCCACTGACTTGTGCAATGGGTGTTAGAACTCTAATTGACTGGATATTCCTATTTAGTTAAAAACTCATATCTTTGTTCTTACCGTGGCTTATTAATCTCTAGTGATATCTTTCCTATAAATGCATTATTCAAACCTCATGTCTGTATCCTACTTCTGCACATTTAGCCAATTGTTGTTGTCATAAAATTCATGAACTGTTCATCGCATTATACGAAAAAATGTGAAATCCTATAGTTTTTTTCTGTCAAACTATTGTGAGACTATGAAAGGGAGTTGCTATGTGAGAACAAACAGTGTATTTATGTTATGTTGATGATAATGAAACAATCACAATGATGACACACCTTCATTCTATTTTAACGTTTGCTTATATTTTTATACTGTGTGTTTATTCTTCGACCAATTCTTATTGAATCGATTTTTCCAGTTTTTAACTGTACATATATATATATATATATATATATATATATATATATATATATATATATATGAGTGTGTACTTGTTAGCGTATATATGATGAGTGCCATCACTCTATTCTATCTGTTTATTTTGCCAAACTTACTCTATCACTTCATCATGATGAATGAAAATATTCAACAAGATACACATAGCTTAAGGAGTTGAAATCATCATAGTTATAATAACACTGAAATTATACCTAGAGAATATTAAGAATCAAATGAAAAAAAAGAATATCTATGAAAGATTAACTGGAACTCAAAATATCAAGAAAGATAAATAAATTTGAATAAAAATGAGAAGAGGAAGAAGAATTGATCTGTATCATCGCTATGACGAATCCTGACTTATTGTGTCAATCAACATCTTCAATCTCTGATCGTCCAGACTCTGGCCATGCAGTTTACACTAATCAACATGATTCAGGTCAAAATAGTCAGCGTTTTCATGATTTTAGTGTTATCGTTTTCATTTGTTGAATGCTAGTTTTCTTTTAACTTACTCTGAACATCATTGCATATCCCATATCAGCAGCACAAGTTCATTGCACACCTCTCTCTCTCTTCCCTATCATTCAAATTTTAATATGCTTTTTTTTCTGTAAATCTTCATTTTGTGCTCACTTTTATTCATGATGTTGTTATGATTATACGTCTGTGTCAGAAATAGAACATTGATTTGTACATATATGCATGATACATTATTAATTGAATTAAAAATTGTGTGTGTGTGTGTGTGTGTGTTTATATCATCATCATCATCTCAAGTGTTGACTAATTATGCTATGAATATCTGTGTATGTGAATTGATAATCTTTTGAAATAAACTTCATTTCTGATTCAATTTCATAGATGTGTATTGTTCTGTATGTGTTGGATTTTATTTCACTTAGATATTATTGATACGTTAATAAATTGAATGATTATTGAGTCTTATTTAAAAGAACAAGCTTATATTATCCATCGCCTTCACTCATCTTAACAAAAGCATACATTTACACTTTAGATGATAAATTATCAGTATATGTAGATGGTCAATAGTAGCGTTTCGTCCTATTTTTGGATAACACAGTGGTGTTTGAAGCTAACGCTACTGGATTCCAGTCTCGGAGTGAATACCGACTCTGGTACACACACAGGTACATCCAAACTCAGTAAAGAACAGGAGTTCTGTATCCCATTGCTAATCACACTATCCACCACTGTTCATAATGCTTGTAATCTTAAGTCAATATCCAAGGCATTCTGCACAGGAGGCACTGATAACCTAACTTCCTTAACTATCGATAAGAAGAAGATTCAAACTACCAGCACAAATGAATTAGAACTGAACTATTTGTATCCGATAATAACAATAATGTTTACTAGTTGAATAGATGTGGATTGGATTAGTAGGCATATAAATTAATTGAGAATATCAATTCATCACTTTTCTTTGAAATTCTCTACTCGATCTATATATATATATATATATATATAGTTGTATAATCTCAATTTCTATGAAAAACATGATCAAAATAAAGATTTGTTTGTTTGTTCCATTAATTTTGTCAGTTCATCTTTATGTGTACTGCTTTTTCTGTTTTTTTTTCCATTTATTTGCGTTTGCTTAGGAAGGAATAATATCGATGTAATTGACTTCTAGTAACATTTTCTCAGTGTATGTTAATTTTATTTGATTTACTTCAATATTTACAAACATATTACAAAGTTGTGCCATTAAGCAAAGCGAGATGCAATAGGGTGATTAGTCGTTGTCGTCGTCGTAGTAGTAGTAATAGTATTGAAGTATTTGTGAAAGCATTAAAGACTAAAATACACTTTTACAATTTGCCAATCGTTATCATTATGTTGCTTGCACACTACTACTGTACTATGCGTGTTCTGTTTACATTAAGAAAATGGTGTTTATATTTGCAATAATAACAATAATAAACTCGCTATTATTATTATTATTATTATTATTCTGTACGTTTTATAGAATTTCACATATTGGCATGTCGTTTATAAAAATAATGACATATTATCGATGTAATTTACACTTTCTAGGCACTGAAATTATGATTAAATAAAATACAGTGTTTAACTTTCAGTTTTAGATATATATATAATCAACATATGATTATCTTTTTATAGGTAATATGTAATCCAGTTCAATACACTAAGGTGTCATATGGATTTGAGAATCATAATTGGGGGTTATTTTTAGCATAAAAGTTACTTTAAATAGTTTATTCACTACAGTTTATGTCTCACAACATACCTATGTTTATCATGATTAAGGGCTGACATATTACTGTTTAAGGTTACAGTACACCGAGAGATTGTATAATATTTTGAATTTGTAAAAGGGAACCTATTCACAACAATAATTCAACCTAAAAGAGCTTCTAATCAATGAAACAATCAAAGGCAATGTTCTTGGCACATTATCAATCGCTTTAAACCATCAACCGAGTACACATCACATTCACTGCCCTAATGACACCTTAATTCAACAACAAAAGCAGAGCATCAATCATGTGATAGAATCAACAGAGTAAAATTTTGATCACTGAAAAACTTGATCTGCATAATATTGTGAATATATATATATATATATATATATATATATATATGATTTAACTGATGTTAGATACTACTCAGTCAACTGATCTAAATCTAATTGTTAATCTGGCTCCACATAAACGCATATAAAACAAAGTAATGTGTTACGCATGCACGTAAACATATCATTTGATAAGTTTGAAGTATTATGAGAGCCAGGATCGATGATCCGGTGACACGACAGGCTACTCTAATCCTAACGTCCCAAACCCTTATTGGGTAAAACAAGAAGACTTGATACGAAGTAGAACATGTATTCTACAAGCATCCAGAAAGTACGAGGTTCGGTGCCCAAATAAATATTTATTACTACTCTATTTGATTTGCACTACCGCATTGTTGAATTTATGGAGTCTCATTATCGTGCACAAGCCAGTTATTTATTTAAACGCATAAACATTGTCATAAAAGATTAAAATATGCCCGCGCCAACACAAATCATTGAATGAGCTACTAATCGAGTGCTCAAACCGAAGCAAGTAGTTGTTAGTTAGTTATCTTGGGCTGCCACTCCCGGAGCCTTTAATCTAATTTGAAGAGAAAAAAAACAATATTCTTATTGATATCCGATGAAGTTGTGGATAAATCCATTGTTGAAGAGTCTCGTCTCAGGATAAAATGAATATCGATTGCTTTATAGTTTCTAACTGAATGGTTTCTTTAATATTTATCATTTTTTCAATCAATATCTTCATCGAATGTCATCAATTGTTATTATTTTTGTACATGTTAGTTATACATTAAAATGTGTTGTAAGAAATGAGATGTTCTTTCTTTGAAATTCGTTTAATAATAGCACAGATAAATAATTCATACTTTATCTCTGTTCTATTAAGATTTAAATTTTGAATCGGATCACACATTTCACTTGTTCGTTTTCAAATTATGCATATTTACAACTGTTGCCTTGTGTCAGCATTATTAGAAATTTATTCTCGTTAACTTTTTTCATGATTTACTGTCGTTGTGGGAATTAAAAAAAAATAGTTTAAAGCTGTAGGGATAGATGTCTCATGCATGTGTTTCTTCAGACTTCTTAGCATCAGTTCGAACCATTCAGCCATACAAAGAATGAGGAATCCCAGAAGCGTGATGTTTAGCGGCAAACGTGATGAGATTCATTTAGTGAGTTATTGTAAACCAAAGGTATAAGTAGATTTTTCAATTTCAATCGATTTGTATATTTTAATCCTATTAGTAGCATCAACTGCACAGGACACAACTCATCCGTTAAGAATTTTAGTGATGATTAGTGAGTCAGCATATTTATTCTTCATTGGAATTATTGTCTGCAAATTTTGTACAATTTCAATGTGATTTTTAATTCATAATTATGTTATAACATGTACATATGCGATTCTCCGTTACATGTGTGTTCTCTGTAGGTATTGTCAGATTATGAAGAAATTTTCATGTAATGTCTTTCTTTCTCTCTCTCTCTCTCTTCATTTTCTGCTACATGCATCATTTCTATGTAGATTATTATTATTATTATTATTATTATTATTTAGTTATTATCATTCTTATATTTGTTATTTTAGTACACTCAACCGATTAGTGAAGATAACAATTTACCAATTCAATCATTCAACAATAATTCACAGAATATTCATGATGATTCATCTTCACGGATTATTGCAACATCTCTACTACTCCCTGATGTTTATCTACAGTCGACTGATACTGGTTTACCAGTAAAAAATTCTAATTCTTATGAATTCGATGACGGACCAACAATGATTTCGACTAAAACTACAACGGCTAACCCTACTGTTTCCGATGATCAAAGTGTTGTAATTGATGAATCAGTCTCTTTAATCAATCAGCATCGATTAGATTTGTTAAAGACCAATACAACTGTTACCAATACTACCACTACTACTATCACCACTAATACTGATATCAATACTGTCACAACTACACCAATATCCATGACACCGACAACAATGCCTATAACTAATCTTTCTTCTATGCATAGTCATCATCATCATTATCCTTGTCATCCGCATAATGTAACTTGTACAGCTAAATCAATCAACAATCATCAACAGATTTTGTCAAATACTATGACCACAAGCTCTGTCGATAATAACCATACTAAAAGCACATTAGAACGTAACAATGTGAATAAAAAGTGTAAATCTAAAATGACCGATGAAATGATACAAGAGAAACTTCGAATGATTGTTAGCATTGGTGATCCAAATAGAAAGTATCAACGATTAGAAAAAATTGGTCAAGGGTAAGCTGACATGTATTCATTTTCTTTCATTTTTTTTACACATTCTATTAGTGTATATAAACAATTAATAATAATAGTAATTATTATTATTATTATTATTATTATTACAATCTCGAACAAATTGAAGTCAATTTCAACATTTTCTGCTTTATGAAGTTAAAGTTAAATATCCTGCTTATTTTTCATGAACAACTAATGCATGTTGCTTCTTTTCCTTTAACTTACATTTATGTGCATGTTTCAATTGTAAGCAATGTAAATTTGTTGGGAAAATACATCATCCTCGGCTCCCCTCCATATCCTCTTTCTTAGGAAAGAATTTTCATTCGAATCAGTCGAAAATTTATCGTTAATAATCACTAATTTGAATTTTTAGGCTGCATATCTTACACCGTTCAATCAACATGCATAGCAAAACTTTCTGTGTTACCCAATGAGGTATACAGTGATAACTGTCACAACTGCTGCAATACTGTATTCAATACCTCGATTATCTTTTTTTTCGACCCACCAGCTACTAAAAACAAATTTTATCCAGAAATACAAAAAACCATTAACGTGTAATATATTCGATTGAATTCAAATATGTATCAATCCAACAACTGATAATTACAGAGTGTCATCAATTGTTTAATCAGTCAGTCAGTTGCAACGGAGAAATTCGTACGTACGTACATCACTACAGGTTGTCATACCACATTAGCACAGAGACGTAACTATCAATTCAAATCCAATGGTGGTAGCGATAGTAGAAGTATTAGCAGTAATGGAGAAGACTAGAGTTCAAAAATATTATTCAAGAAGTAGAATCTAGTACTGCTGCGCAGTACACTCGTAATTGTATTTGACTATGAAATCTCAGTGATACAGAGTCAATACAAAGATAATAATATGAAAATTAAATCACTGTTCATAGCTAAACTACACTAAAAATCTATTATTAGAATTCACAGATACTCTCGATGAAGTTGACTAAACCGAAATTATCTTAGTTTGATTTTCTTTCGATAATGCATAACAACTGTTTGTGTCCTTCATACTCTTTAAACATTGCATAAATATCCAATTGACGCCATAATTATTCTTTCTCTTTCTTTGATATTATTCTTCATAGTTCCAACCTGGGTCATGTGTTCATTTTTTGCTATACAGTCATTGATTTGATGGTTTCTTTTTTTTTTATTAAAAGAAAAAAATAACATTAAAATCCATTATTATAATGAGATTTTCAATCATCCATGAAACTTCTTGATCAGTTTACATGTCCGTTTACTTTGTTTTTGTTTTAATATAAAATATCTATGTTCAATGTTGTAATGGTACAATCAATCAATCAATCACTATTTAGGCTATTTTTTTTTATATAAAAATATCATTATTACTATTGTTATCATAGTTCACATTTGTTTTCTGTCAAATTCATTAAAACTATAACTTAATTAGTTTAAACTATCAAATTTTTTGATCTCATTGTTTTAAAGTCAAGTTGCATTAAGTTATCAATAATTATAAAATAATTGGTAAACTGAGCTCACTTGTAATACTGGGGCTTTATTTGTAAACCTTAACTAATAGTCACATATATTATCACTACCCCCGGTACATTGATATAACCAAGTTTGTTCAATGTTGAAAAGTTTCACTAACAATTCAGAACATGACTATAATAAGCAAATTAATTAGTTCAATCGTTTTGACTTCAGATGATTTTGAGATGCTAGGGAGGATTTGTAGCTCAAGTGGATGATTGTGGTTGAGTTTCGTTCTATGAGCTGGATGTTTTGGTTGTCCTTCTGAACAGTATCAGAAGAATAACGAAAGCTCCACAACCAAAATATCCAGCTCATAGAACGAAACTCCATCACAATCGTTTTCACTGTTTTCATTGAATGATTCAGAAAGAAGTGTAATACGTTAGGGCTTTGATTGGTTTGTGTTTTCCCTGAAAGTACTTACTACTATCATGAAATTGATCATTTCACTCAATAATCGATCAACTGGTAATATCTTAATTCAACAGTGTATCATTTGGCGATAACCAATCCGCTTAATGATAATGTCTCAAACCGTGTAGCTGGGTGACACAAATCAAATTCAACAGGGAGCACGAATTCCTTAATGAGTACAAGCGTCAACTAACCGACTTCCTCCAACTGCCTGATATCCTGCAGGTACGTCGTGTGTTGAGGGAGAGACTAACCAAGGAGCATATATAAAATAGATTTGGACTGAAAATCAACCTGAAAACAGTGACCTGACTACTTAGTGAACATATAAGATAATGAAACTAATCGATAGATACACATGAGCAAACTCTAATAAAAACTACAAATGAAGCTATTCTCAAAGCAAAATTGATTATTTCAGCATTTTTCATTTTAATTAGATTTTATAAGTGGATCATTTATTTAATAAATAATTTTTATTGTCATCTAAATTTAAGATCATCATTATGATTATTGTGTTTGTTGTATGTGTTATTTGTTCTAATTTAAGTGAATCTTAGATAATTATTATGAAATTTTGCTATGCACAGTATGAGATGCTGGTCACGTGTTTAACTTTTTACTTAAAGTACACCTTCTCGTGATGCCTTTTTCGCTCACACACTCTTCTTTTTACACTCTATACAATGAATCAAATACCAAATTGTTTGCTTTAATTTGCAACATCTTTGTTGTTACATCGTCATCAACTCTGTTTGTACGCTTGTGTGTGCACACCCTTTTCTCTGTCTCTCTCTCTCTCTTTATATATATATATATATATATATATATATATATATATATATATATCAGTAGTATATCAGTATTATACATTAAAATCAAAAAGTAACTTGTGTACAACTATTTCATTGATCCAATAAATAGTTTATGATAGTTATTGTATAGAGGAATAGTGATTAGTTTGTGAGTGCTGGTGTATGAAGCCTTGTAATGTAGTTGTTAAATGTTTTCAGCAAGAAACGTTTGAGAGTCCTATGTATGCATGTTTATATATATATATATATATGTATATATCTTATTTATTGTTCAATAGTAATGAATAGGCGACATACACTTACACATAAACTGTATACATAGAAACAGAGTAATATACTGCGAGCACATTCCTTTGAATACATCATTATTACGCTTATCATCATCATGATAGATTTTCATGTATGTATATATATATATGTGTGTGATTAACTATGTCGAAAATTCAAAAAGATATTTAATTAATAATAATAATCATAATGATAACAAAAACAAAAACAAATTGATTAGAATCTATTCGAGTAATGCCTGATGACAATCTAATCGAAAACAATATTGTTCGCTTATATGTGTGTTGTTGTAATTTTCACAATGGGAATCTTTAATATAACTTTAATTCAGTCATATATTATGGCATGTGCATTGATAGTTTTCGTTAATTTTTTAAAAGATTATCACCCTTCTTTTATATGCCGGTCTTGTGTTTTGTTATGTTGTTGCTGTAATTGTTATGATGATGCTGATGATACAAATGTTGGAACGGCTTTTCTTTTTAACCTTCGTTTGTGTGTTGTATATTGTAGAATTAATCACTTCTAATGTAAGAGAGATAGAAACAATGTGAACATTTGTATAATTTGAAATTTGTTTTATTAGATTAGTCATTGGAAATCCCCTATCCGATCTATCGAGGAAATTTTTGATTGCACCGTGCTGATCAGTTCTATACTCGCATGAAACAGTTAGTTGTATAATATGTCTCGATTTTGAATAGTTTGGCTTCTTATCACCGCCCGCTGTCATTTCTTCATTTTGCTCAGTTAACTAATCTTTCTTCCTTTTCTCTCAAGTTTCCGCCTCTACATGTAGGCAGAGTTTGATGCCTTAGTGTCAGAGATCTTAGACACCTTATATGATAAATAATATTGTTTATACAATGACAATTATTAGCGTTTGTTTTTTTTGCAATGATTTGGAATTATGAACTTGAATCTCTGCTGCTTCATTTATTTTACTTTCGACATTTGTATCATAGTACGTACTCGCTTATATACAAAATGTTGTAATGACACTCTGAAAATATAAATCTGTACTAGTAGTAGGTCATAGTATATTCATTTGATGTTATTTAGAATATGCATAGTTTATACAATCATTGCAATCATTGTAAGCATTGGTCATTGTTTAACAAGTGTTACAGGAATTGGTTTTCAATAACCCGAAAATACTAGCATTTATGCTACACACTTAGATTTTTTTGTCATCTGAAAAAAAGCAATGATGATAATAATAATAATTTCGGTATTAATTTCTTTAAAAAAAAAATATTATCAACTAATGTAGAAATTCATTGCACCAATTTGTAAGATAAAAGTTAATCAACTATTTTTTTTCCTTCTCTTTTCTTTTTTCAACTTTATCTATACACACACACACACACACAGACATAAGCAGAGTACAATCGAGTAGTTTTTGTTAAACTGCTGCATTATTGACAGAAACCTAATTTAAACTACTGTCAATTCCAGTGGAGATCTTTAATCAATGAAGAAAAAAAAATAGAAACAAGAGAAAACTCTTTTATTTTTTGTGTGTGTCATTTAGATTAAACAAAAAGAAAAAAATATAAAACAACTTAGATAAAATGATGTGTTTGTTTATTTTTGTTCACTAAAAAATCTATTCATGCTGTCATACATATATGTATGTGTATATTCATTTCAATAAGTACATTAGAATTAATAAAATTAATCTCTTATCATCTTCTACACAGTTCTTACTAACTTTGCTCTCTGTCTCTCCACTCTTTCTATGCAACTGAATATTGGTTGTTTAATGATTCTGTTTGTTATATTAAATCTTGAATTTATTTGGTTTGACGTTGTTTGGTTGGTTGGTTGATTGGCTTCGCATCTTATCAACCATCTTAATTTTTTTTCTTCAATGCATTAAAACACAGCACCAACATCTGATGATGATAATGATAATGATGTAATACTATCCACATACTATGAGATCGAT